CAGAAAATTCTCTTGAGTTCACTCCTACAGGTTGACTTTTCTGTTATTTGTAAGTGAACATTTTCCTCACAGTACACATCCATCAAAGATCATCCACTTGACTATGAGAATGAGAAAATCCTAGCAGAAAAGATGATTTTTCTTAGAAATTACTAATTATAGTTCCCTATTTTTATCTAGTTCATTTCTACTTGTCTGATGCTAGATTCTCTGTTGAAAGTATATGAACGTTATTAAAGAAGTAAAATTATATTTAATTTTCTAGCTACTGGATTGCTAAGATATGTATTAGAAAAATAATTAGGGAATGATGGGCACAGTTTCAACAGAGCTTTGAGTAGCAGAGCATTAAAAGAGATATAAATAATATTTATATTAACTGTAGAAATAACCTGAAAGAGAAATGTCTCAACAAGTGTAGCGGTCTAATAAATAAGCTTATAAACCATGACTGCTTTGAACATGCCTGTCTCCAATATCTTGCAATGTGACAGGCATAAAGATAGTAATAGATGTTCTCAAATGTGTGAGTGACCCATTCACAGGAAGTGAAGCCTGTGAAGAAAATCAGTCACAGGAGAATTGTAAAAAGATAGCCACCATCTAACAGTCATGTTTTAAGAAAACAGTAAGTGTAAGCAAAAGATAAATAAAGATTAGCCTGAAACTGAACAACTGTTTTCTAAGTAAACATCAACAATGATAAGAAAAATAGAAGTGTACACATTCGGCTTTATTGGTTGAAAGCAATCAAAAACAATTCTGGCTAAGCAAAGAAAATGAGGAGAAATAACTGGAAACATATTGAGCCTCCTCGAAGCAGCAGAAGGCTAACCTCGAAGGAGGACTATGGAGAAGCCACTCGGGAAGAGATAGGTCAGACTGTGCTGCTCAAGGGAGCGGACGACATCAATGGACTGTTCCAAGGGATTCTGTGTTTCATGGGAAAAGATTGAAGAGAAAAGGAAAAAATAAGCTATGGATTCAAGAATTTTTCTGTGCAGGGATGTGCAGGAAGACGAGGTGAAGAGCGATGTCTGTTTTTAATGGCACGTTTTTATGATAATGGCACTGAATCTCTGCTTGAAACTCTTTCCTGAAAATGTCTCAAGGCCACTTCTTTGTGTCATTTGCACTTCAGTCCTGTGTCATCTCTTGGTCCTCCATCCTTATGCTGTTTTTCTTTTCTTTATAACACTTGTATCTATCTTTAACAACACTCTGAATGTTTGATTGTGAGCACCAACTAAACCATGGATTTCGTGAGTAGCTTGGTCCTTTTGTGTTACCACTGTAACACAGGCACCCTGAAAATTCCTGTCATATAGCAGGACCCCAATAAATATTTATGAGATAAATAAACAAGCAAAGGAGCACCTAAAGTTACAAATGCTGGAGCCTCAAGGTCCCAGGTTCAGATGGCTTACAGTCCTGTCGGCCAGGGTCTGTTCAGCATGTGGTGGGAGCTTAGTATCTGAATTTACAGTCTCTCCAAAGGGAAATCTGAAGGAAGAGGGGGATTTCTCACAAGAAGTTTAAACACTGCCGGAGACAACTGCTCCCTGAAGTAAAGAGCAATAAGATGGTAGAAGGAATTTGCCCTATATAAGCGGGAAATGAAAAGTTTACATTCCTACTCATTAATTAAAAATTTTTAGTCTCATCTCTGTGTTTCCCAAGGAAAGACTTCATGACCAAGGGGGTAAAATCTCTCTGCTCACATAGATAAACATCTCTCTCCATTAAAGCAAGCTGGAAGCCTGGAGATAATTAGACTCACTGTGTCGAGCAATCAAAGACACAAGGAAAAGACAAAAAGCAAGGTCAAATGAGCTAATTCTTAGGCAAATCAAAAGGAAAGCTTTTGCAATCACCTACAAGTGTTCTGGTGGTAGTTCACGGATGGATCTGTGTACCTGTTTGTTCAGTTACTTTGGTTCCTCTGTCACCATCTTCTCTCCTGTTGTCTTGTGCTTCCAGCTGCACTCACCAGAGTCCCAGACACACGTCTGTGACAGACACCTTGTATTCACTGCCCTAATCACAGACAGAACTGCTGTACTTCAGCAGCTTGAGTGGGGCCGCAGGATCACACCTCCCCATGGGGAACACCCGGGAGACGCTTCTGTTTGCTTTCATTTAGTTGTTCATTAAGTTCTCTCGACTTCCTGAATTAGAAAAATGCTTTCGAAATCCAAGGCCTGTTTCATTTTTTTCCACTTTGGACATTATGCCAACTAGAACGATAACCCCGATAGAATGATCAGCTCTGGAGGGTTGTCACAGTCAAGCTGGTGCCAGTCTCACATAATGTCTGCCACATGGTGTGATTTCAGGAAGTATCTGGAGAATGAACTAAAAAGTAAGCAGACAACTCAACCAAGCAGGCTCCAAAGACATCTTCTGTGGCTTTTTCTCCTCACCTCAGCCATTTTGCTTTATTATCTGTCTCTTCTATTTTGCATTTTCTTCATTGCTATGCTTTTTTCTCTTCCTCTCCTTTCTGACCCTATCACTATTTATTCATCTCAATTTGATACAGTATCCTGATAAGCATTAACAACAAAACATATAAAATAGGCATGCCTTCTAAACCTCCTGGTTATAGTCACATACGTAATTTCTGATTATACAAAAAGTACATATTTGCAAGCTACAAGATTTTTAATTGTATATAACAGTTTATGAGGACTTATAAGCCAAAAATGTTTTTTCAGTTTAAAATAATATAAATCGTAGTAATATCAATGATGTATGTAGTATGTTTCTAGAAGTTTTGCTAAAATGTTCCTTTTTAGGAACAGTATATATTATAAATTACATTTTATTATATATATTATATATACAATATTATGTATTATATTTTATAATTTTCCTTTCAAAAAGAAAAATGTGATTTTCTTGAAGTTCAGTTTACCTTTAAGATTATTTGAATGATTTTCATTCTTTAAATAATTGTACTTGATTTACTCTTAAAAGAGCAATGCCATTGACTTGTTAGCCTTCTCAGTCTAGGATTTCGTAGATTGTAAACCTGAAAATTTCTTAACCTTCTCCTCTGAAATCCTTCTTACATATGTCCTTTTAAGGAGGAGTGAGAATAGGATAGTCACTTTATTCTTCAGGGACTTTTTTGTCTTTTTCCTTTTTATTGGTACCAGGGATCAAACTCACGACTGCATGCTTGCAAGGCAGGTGCTTATGCCGCTGAGTTAAATCCTCAGCCCCTTTCAGGGACTTTTTTAAAAGTCTGTTTTTATACGTCATGTCTTTCTGCCTATTTTTTTTGATCTTGAGATGTATGATATGATTAATAATCATTATGAATAATTAGTGTCTACAATGCCTTTCAACAACCATTACTGAGATGATTTTCCTTTCATAAAATATTAGGAAGGAAGTATGTGGTAAATGTCTGTGCATTCCTCTAAAATCCACTGAAATATAATCCATTCTGTGAGTTTTCAGTAAGCTGGGCTAAGGAAGCAGAATGGTAGGGACAGTTAACTTCCCAAAACCAAGCAGTTCAAGTGGTTCTTTTAAAAGGAAGAACACAGAGGCCACGAATTTATTTCAGTGGTATAAGCACCTGCCTGGCAAGTGTGAGGTCATGAGTCAAACAGGAGTTTGAGGGGAGAGGGGGAGAGGGAGAGAGGGAGTTTGCACACACTTAATTTAGACAGTGTTGACTTTTTAGCCCAATTGCTTATAGTTTTTTTTTAAATTATTTTAAAGAGAAAAAACAAAACAAAACCACAAATACCTATGGTACAGAATTTCAAAACAAGATAATAGGAAATTAACAATAGTAAATATATGACATATTGCTATCTTCAGAGTAATTACTCAAATTACAACATAGAGGTATGCATAATTGATCAGGCAATATAAGCACAAGCCATGTTTTTCAATGATCTAAAAGAAATCAGTAGCATAACTGTTTAGTTATCTTTGTCTATGTACGTATCTTTTTCTTTTCACTTCCTTCTTTTCTCCTTTCACTCATCCAGTTGCTTTTTTCCTTCTAAGCAGTTTCTTTCCCTTTCATAGTATCTATTGTAGATTTTGGATCTTATATACTATTCATAGAGTTGCTTTACCAAGGAGCTAGGTAACAATATTGGAAAAGTAAATAATAATTTTACTCTTTAATTGATATGTTCCAACTGTTCCTTGTTATTAGTATTGAAATTATTTAATCTATATGCTCCAACCCTAGAAACAAATTCTATGATTAGATAACTTGGTGTCATAGCAATCTAACCTATTTTGTTATGGGCTATATAAGTTGACTGCATAAATTCAGGAAGTAGGGATCAAAACCCAGAGGGATTTGGGCTTTGATATATAGACTGCAGAGTTCCTACAGGCTCTTCCCTCCAGAGCAGGAAGTGGCACAGATATACCTCAAATGAGTCTACACACACCCCTAGGAAGTACAAGTGACTGATAGCTTTGGAAACCCAACAGGGAAGCTGTGGCTGCTACGGATGAATGGTGACAGTGAGCAGAACACTAGCAATAAACACAACACGGCTCTTCCGACATCCTGTGTTGGGAACAAACGCTTGCATTAGAAAGTGGCCTGGGGGATCTTGTCTCAGGGAAAGCAGATTATCACAATGAGAGATCCACGGGAAAGCCATTGTTTTTGTTTGTAGGTCTGTGTGTGCCCCCATTTCAGACAGCAGTGTGACAACTGTTTTTTCAGCATTGATTCTAATTGTAAAAACTCCTTGTTTAAACACAGACCCACCACTTTGGTTCCACTTTGAATGGTTCTTCCACAAATGATGATGATAATGTGGTGATTCTTCATCTGGTCTCCTGCCTGGATCTGATTTGTGAGATGATTTGAGGAGTTACTGTGGCTTTGCAGCTGAGTTGTTTTTTTTTTTTTTCTTTTTCTTTTTTGTTTTGGGAAGTTAACTGTCCCTACCATTGTAGTTGCCTAGCAACAAGGGACAGAGAGTAATAGGAGGATTCTAAAACTCTCAGGACTCCGGTCAGTTGAGGCTTATCCAAGGACAGTGGGCCTAACTTGAGATGGGCGAATGTTACAGCACAAACTCCGTAGATCCAAACTCTGAAAACCCTGAGAGCTACAGGTGAGTTTCCAGCTTCTCTTGTCCCAAAAATAATTCATGGGAATGTCTAGATCAAGTAGCCTTCAGTCAGTACTTCAAACATAACTTTCCTTTAAAGTCTGTGGGGAAACATCAAACAGACTTTTTCCTTTCCTGGAGAATGACCTTTTCATTTGGATGAGGCAGTGTTCTCAGATCATAGGGCAGGGCCTGACACACAATAGGTTTTGCTAAGTATTTGTTGGATAAATAAAACATACTTCATGTGCATTTCTCAAACTCATAGTCACCCACTCCAACCATTTCACCAGGGTGTGAAGGGCTAAGAGGTGCTGAGCCAGCCCTCTCCAGAATGAGTGATATGCAGTGTCACCATCACCACTCTGTCAAAGGCGGGTTGTTCATTTTCTCCAAATTCCCCAAATAAAAATCCAAATCAACCCTGGCTCTAAGTACAAGTATTAAAGTATAGCTTCCTTACAGTCCATCACTGGAGAATCTGTTGGTTGTCTGGATACTTACTTCTTTCCCTTTCAAATGTGAAAGTGTCATACACTTAGAATTTTCTTTCAAGCATTCACAGACAGTTGTACCCCTCTCTGTGGAATAAGCTGTCTTTGAAGATGAATATCCTCCGTGAGGTGCCCACTCACATCTGTGGATTCATGTTGTTCAGTCTTAAAACATAATTTCTTTATGTGAATGTATGAAATTTGCTTTTAACCTTGGGTTTGTGGCACATAGATGCTATGGAAAATTCAGGAATCTTCTGACATTGAATAAACTATCATTTCTATATGCAGAAGAGTCTATGACCCTCAAAAGATGAACAGACTTTGGGAGAGAGAGAAACTTTTTTGTCTGTTAACACAAATAAAATTTAGCAAACACTCCTTTATTTAATTGTCCCTAATAAATCATCTACAGAAACAGTATGCCAGTGTGCACACCCCTGGAGAGCTGAACATAATGTTGCCAAATGGAGGAAAACTTCCCTGTCACTAATGAGTCGGACATGAACAGCACAGTGTGTGGCCAGCAGGGAAGCAAGTGAGAAAGCAGGATGCTTCTCTCGCCGTAAATTGCCATTAGTGTTTTTGCCTTTGAAGTAGGTTTTTGTGATGGGACCCAAGAAGTACGACCCTTTTTGATTCTGAGGTGGGTTAGTTTGGTTCCTGCCCTTCTGAGCAGGAGCAAACTAATCTCCTGGGACTTTCTGTTGGCCTTTCCCCCTCCTCTTTTTTTTGGCTTCCTCTTGAGACAGACCTTCCCCACAGGGTGCAGAAACTGAACGGGAACTTAAAATGTCTAAGAAAGAGAGAATTAGGCCTGGATGTAAATAACCGAGAGAACCAAAAAGCATTTTCCCAAGAAATCCTCTGCTATCAGAACTGTATGCTTATTGGATGCTTATATTGAAATCAATTCATTAAAATGATTTATTCACATCGGTTAATTGTTGACTAATTACTATTTCAATTTGGCATGAAAATTATGGAATGAAAGTTTGGAAATCAGATAGGTATTTCATTAAAAGGAATAAAGCTTTTATATTTTTATCAAGCAGAAAAAATACTGCTGTGAGCTTTATATGTCGTATTATTCATAACATAGAAAATTAAAGTAGGTTTTCCTCTTTCTCCATTAACTTTGAAGTAAGATAACATTACAAAACAAAGCTTCATAAACAAATTCTAATTTATTTTATCTCAAGAAAAATAGGCCTTCTAAACCTTTCTTTAATTATTGTACAAAACATGCTTTCTCTGTATATGCTGTTACTATGGTTACCTTGAGACCATGACTCATGACATTTAAATATTATTGTCAGGTAGCCAACATGTCCTCAACTTAAATCAGTAGTTTTGTCTCAGGCATAATTAAAAGAGGGTTGTTTCCAATAATGCTTTCTGTGGTGCATTTGTGCTACATCTGAATATGTACATAAGAATCTTACAGCACAACGTTTTGCTTTGCTTGGCCTCATTCAGTGGGTGAATTGCTTTCTTGGCAGGTAATTGGGAGAATAAAAAGTAAACAAGTCATAGTCCTTATTCTTCATGAAGTTATCCCTGAAAAAATGCAAAAACACAGTAGATACATAATTACACATGTCATGAAACATAACAAAGGCTGTAAGAGGCACATTGCAAAACCTGGAATACGGAGGCAAGTCATCCTTCTCATTGGTAGGCTTGGGGAAACTGAGGAAAAGGCAGCATTAAGGTTGTGTTGCAAAGGAACAGCAAAACTTCAGCATACAGTGAAGAGCTCGTGAATCTTCTAGTTAGGGGAAATCACTTTTAAAAACCATGAACATATACACTGGAACCAATAGGTAACTGGTTTGGTGAAAATATCAATTTTTTGAAGCATACTCATAGAAGATATGATTATTTTAAAGTAATAGGCCTACTTTATTAAGGTCCGTCAAAGGAATTTGTTGTTTTGTGCAGAAACTTTCATGTTGTTTTCTAATGCATAACAAAGAGATACTGAAAAGTAATAAACGTTAAAATACTGGGTTTTGCTGATTTCAAGGTGATGCAAAAAAAACATAATTATATCTCTCAGAATTCAGTGTCTCCCTCCACTGAGAATTTAATTAAGTTTGTTCCACAGTCACTGATTACTCTGTGAGCATTTTAAGTGCTCTCAACTTTTTGAAAAGTAAGTAACCTGAGATGCATGTATAGAAATACAGAAATTAATATTCATTTGGGAGCCAGTGAAATAGGAAACGCCCTGAGATTTTAAGGTGAAGCTTTTTAGCTGGTAACATCAGGTGCAAGCTATTAGATTTATGAAGTTAATTAAATTATTGGCTTATTAATTCAATAAATATTTACTTATCATTTTATCTGTCCATGAGATGAGGTAGAAATAACAAAAGCAGGAGAGAAAATAAACTAGATTCAGGGAATTTACCTTGTCCATTGAAGAAGACACAATAGATGCAGTAAATAAGCAAAATGCATACGTAGTATACTTGAAAATGATAAGTGCTACAAAATAAAGTAGGGCTAAGAGGTTAAGGGTTTAATTTTATGGCACATCCCACTAAGATGGTGATTTCTGAGCAAAGACACCAACTGTAAGAATAACCTAAGTGATGAGATGTGAATAAAATACTCCCAGGGTTTTAGGATGCCGGAGGAACCAGATGAAGACGCTCCCCCACACACACCTTTCCTCTGCTTTCCTCTTCCTAGTGCTGGGGGTCAAACCGAGGACTTTACACATGCCAGGAAAGCATCCTGCCCGTGAGTTACAGCCCCAATCCACGGTGACGATACGTCAAAGAGGGAATGCTGAATCAAAGAGCCAAAGCTCTTGAGTAGGATGACCACTGGAGACAGGACTGTGGAGTTCTTTGGGGAATCTGCCAAATGCAGTTCCTGTGGAGTGGGACCACTGAGAGACTGGAGTGGTTTGGGCCAAAATAACAATAATAATATTAATAATACAATAAAAAAAGAAAAGAAGAAAGGAGAAAAAGAGTTGGAGGTAGTGAAAATCCAGTTCTGCCATGTAGGCAGTCAGACTAAGCAAGCAAGTCCAAGCAGCAATAGTAACATTTTTGTAAGTAAATGACTGAGGGGGGAGAGACCGACAGACAGGCAGACAGACAGAACACAGACAGAGACAGAGACAGTGACAGAGAGAAAAACAGTGTAGGAAATAAGAATTCTTTGAGTCTTGTTTCACAGGCAAATATGCTTTTCTCTCTATCCTTTTTTCTTTTTTTAGTTGAAATAAGACATTCTTCAGGTTTCCAGAACAGCTTGTTCTGTTCAGGCTGGTTATTCTCAGGAGAGCCTTTAAAGTCTATTTTATCTTCTTGGGAGTAAAGTTTACATTCCATTATTTTCATTTCCTTTTGAAATGTCCACAAATTGACATTTGGAGGAAACACTTGAAAAAAAATTTATCTTACATGCTGCAGTGTAACAATCTACTTGCCACAAGATGGGTGTGCCTGCTTGAATTAAAATTTTGGAATTCTATATTTTTTTTTTTTTTTAGCATGAAGTCTGAAAATTCAGAGGCAGATACAGAACCAGACAATGAAACATTGGTAAGAAATAAATGTTGTATAATTTTTTTCCAAAAAAATGAAAAAAGCAGCACAGTTAGTAAAACTGTTATTTAATTTAATAAATGCTGAAATTTTCCTGGTATCATCAGTTCCCACAGTTTACTGGTAAGCAGGCTTTTAAAAATAAAACAAGAACGTTCCTTCCTAAGCAGAAGACAGGTAAGTCCTGGAGCCACAGGGCAGTGCTGCTGCTGGGGTGCTGCGAAGTTGGGTGTGGGGCGGGGTACCCTGCCCCTCCCTACTGGGCGGAAATGCCACACCGCTCTCTGTGGTCTCACCATCCCAAGGACATCCTGGGCTGCTTTGTAGCATTTGCTTGTAAATGAGGAAATCTGGGACTCAGACATGATGCAGATCCGGCACCTTACGTTATTTAGTTTAGGCTGGGTTTAAATCATGGCCTACTTTGTTTAGCTCAGGTTTAAGCCACAGCCAAACCAGCAATAACTTGTCCATTCTCTTCCAAGGGAGCTGGCAACACACCCCGCTGTGACTTTTGAGTCCTTCCCCTTGCAGGAGCTTTCTGATGCCCTGGGAAAGCTGAGTTTGTTGCCTGAGCCCCTCCACTGGCAGAGGTGAAAATGTGCAGGGTGGAAACTGGCTGGTGGGTACATCAGGGTCACTGTACCAGCTCCCTCTCAACTTTGAGACTTCCCCTTAAAAATAGTATTCCCTCAGCTCCTTTTTTTTTTTTTTTCAGTGTTAGCATTCTACCTACAGAAGTTGTAGAACAATCTTGCAGTCCTTAGACTCCATCCAGAGATGTTTCTGAAACAATCCTTTCAGCTCTAAGATGCAATAATGAGTATAAAAGAAAGGTCATAGAACAAGGATGCATATAAGACCAGGCATATTCAGGACGATATAGCCCTGGACAGGACTAGACAGAAAACTTGGAATCAGACCCTCATTTGCCTCCTGCAAGCTATGTGATGAGAGCTAAGTCTTTTGAACCCTTGAAATCTTATTTTGCATCTATAAAATAAGGATAAGGTGACTTACTATACCTCACATAACATACTTACAGGTGAAAAGTGTTAATAAAGTACTTAGAAATATATAAGACTAACAGGTGGGCGTGGTGGCATATGCCTGGGATCCCAGCACTCGCGAGGCTGAGACAGGGGGATCAGTCTTGAGGTTGAGGCCAAGCTGGGCTACACAGCCAAGACTCTGTCATGCACATGCACATATGCACTCTCTCTGTCTCTCTCTCTGTCTCTTTCACACACACACACACACACACACACACACACACACACAAAGGTAAGAAAAATAAAAGCAGTGCTTCAGCATTGATAGTATTCAAATAAGGGCCTTTGTTCCTTTTGGTGTTCGGCATTTCTGATCTTTCAGTCACAATCCACCAGCATTATTGGTTCAAAATGATTGATTCCCTCATGAGATGCATATTTGCACCATTATTTCTTAAATTTTAATATATTTAACCAGTGTAGCTTATTCAATCTAGCTCAGAGTAAACCAGACGTAGCTCTTAAATCCACAGTGATTTTCAGGGGAGTTTTGTTATGTTGGAGCAATATGTCAAGAGGAAGGGTGGGTTTATAACTCAGCGGCACAGTGCCAGCCTGGCAAGTACGAGGTCGTGAGTTCGATTCTGAATACAAAAAAAAAAAAAAAAAATTGCAAAACGGTTTCAATCTAGAAAAATACAATCTTATGTTGCTTTATTGAGATAGGGAAAAATCCTGATAATTAATTTCTATTTTATTTATGCATGCTATTTCTGATTTCCCCAAGAAATGACCCTCACTCAGACCATATCAAAACTATTTCCGTCCCATGAGTACGTATGGGTCTGAGAAATGGGAGACATCTGGACACCAGTGGGTTTATTATGCCTTTTTCTAAAGATGCCTGTCTAGAGGTGACCTGAGTGACAGGATTCAGAGCTGAAAAGCCAATTACCACCTTTAGGATTTCTGCCTGGGGCTCCCAATTAGCTCCCTGGAGTTCTGAATCTATCCTTTCTAATTTACAGCTGACATTATAGGGAGCTTTGGGACTTGAAGAAAATGGCTCTGCTTTACTTTTGTCTTTTTCGCTTTCTAAAAGCACACATTTGGCTGGAGGAGTTAGAATTAGAGACTCCAGTTACTGATGTCTCCTCCGAACACAAATCCCTTTCATAGAATTCGTAAAACATAGCATTCAGCAACACAGATTTTTCTGTGTACCACAAGACCCTAAATTGCAAGTGGGCCCTGTTGGCTCTTTTAAATAATTATTTTTAGTTTTGGTAGAAAAGATCAAGATGCAGGATAAAACCTTTTCAATTGCATGGATGTTTTAAATATATGGGTGTCTCTTGACCACTCAGGCAGATTTAAACACATTCCACCTTCTGTCACCACTGAATTGGACACACTGGCTCTTCATTTGCCTTTACAAAGTGCTATCTGCTGCTTTAAGTTTTGGGTTCCTTTGTACACTCTCTGTACTTAAAGATCTCGATGTGTGCCGACAACAAAATTTTGCCATTGAAGTGACTATTCGTTGGTATCATTTGAAATAAAGCAAGTGGACTTAGCTCCAGGCAAAGTGTTCAGTGATTGAGAACCACGTCCCTCGGATGGTCTCTTCCAGCCCAGTGGGAGGGTGGCATCCAGAATCATCGCTGTGATACTCACACCTTTCCTCTTGTTACTATTGTCACCAATTTAAAAATTAAGAAATCGACATTCAAGGAGGGTTAAGGAGCTTCCCACTGCGGAGGGGTCTGCGTATTCAGTGTAGACAGCAGAAACACAGGCTAATCCAGAAGAGCTAATTTAGAGCTGCTTCTCAGGGCACAGGTGTTCCCCATATATCTTAGCCCTATTTGGACCTGTTATTTAAACTTTCTCTTGGCTCTGTTTTAATATCTTCTGACAGAAAACAGCTAGTGCATATAAATCATCTCATTTAAAACTGTTTGGAAAGCGGAAATTCTATTAGAGAGGGGTTTGGCAGGAACAGCGTCATGACTGTTGCTCTGAACTACTCCTGCGATCCTGATGTAGAATACCTGAGTTTATTGGTGACATGGAGCCACACATCCCAAAGGAAGAACACGGGTGTGACACTGTTAATGCCAGAAGATTTTTGGGGGGCCTGTAGTGTGTTTATTTATACACTTGGTAGACTCAGTATCATATGAGATCTCTCCACCTAAGAGCTTATCACATAGCATGTAGTTTATCTCAGGTACCCCGTGTTCTGTTTTTAAAATTTTATTTAAAGAAAGACTCAACAAAACAGAAAATGGGTAGAAATAATACATACATACTTACGAAGAAAAAAATAAACAGTAAGAAATCACTAGTTGATGATTATAGATTGTCCTCTTACACATAGTTATTCAAGATACTAAAGTGGAGCATATAAAGTGGGGATTCAAACAGTGAGACTGCAAGCAGTTCTGTTCAATATCCAACAAAAACTTAGAAATACGGTTATCAATCCTACACACTTAAACATACACGCAGTTATCCATATCTTCAATTATGTTGAGATTGAACAAACCCAAGCAGGCTAATATCACTCTGAACAAAGAATAATACTATTGCTGGGTGTCACATTATGACACTCCAGGGTCAGCACTGGTAATTTAGTGTCTCTTTTTCTTCAAAGTATCTGCTCATTTCATTATGTGTCATAAGATCAGTTCTCATAAACTGTTTATATATTCTACACATGCATGAGTCTTAACATGTATTTCTATCCTTTCTATATTAGAGGGAAAAAAAACAAAACAAAGCAAGACAAAATAAAACATATTCCTATAAACACATGAAATGAAAAAGACATATAAGACCGTTGTACAAGGAGTTCTACCATAGTTCCTATGTTGTCTCTTGTTATCTTCAATAGAATTGGCTATATCATCAGGCATAGTACAACTGAATATATCAGTACATGACAGTATTAATAAAAACGGAACTTTGTATATAGTATAAAACTTCAAAAGCAGGCAGTTATCAAACCAGAATGTGTATCATAGAGTCTTGTCATCTTCAGTGTAGTTGCCTATACCCTCAGACTTGATACCATCAATCATATCAGTTTTGAATAAAATCTGTCGATACCAAACAGCAATCAAACAAACCAGATTTAACTAAGATCAGTCATGATAAAACAGTATAAATCATACAGGGCTCCAGATTAAGATAATAGGAAATTAAAGATGATTATGCTATATCCTGATGTTTTCAGGATAGCTGTCTATGCCCTCAAATCTAATGCAAGTAGACAAACTGGGACAGAACAAAATCTGTCAGAAAAAAGAATAAAATCTAAGCAGAGTGGTGTGAGTAATGTGGATTTTAAATCCTGATACACTATTAACAATATCTTCTGACATTTTTTTTTTTTTTTTTTTTTATTTTTATTTAACGAGAAAAGAAAAGAAAGAAAAAAAAAACAGTGAAGGGTACAAGTTTTACCGATTTACAGAAGAAAAAAAAATGCGCAGTAGGAAATCACTAGTTAATAGATTACATATTGCCGTCTTAGAAATAATTGTTCAAGTCACAGAATCAAAGTTTGTAGAGTGGACATTCCAACAATGATACTGCAAACAGTTCTGTTCAATGATCCAATAGAACTCTGTGATATCATTTTCTGTCTTATACATTTAAATAAACATGCAGTTATATAGTTTAGAGCATTTTCTTTTCCTCTCTTTTGTACAGTGACTATTACACATTTTGGGTTTCATTGCTCCCACTGTTCTTATTGCTTTTTTGGAAGAGAGTAAAACCAAATGTGACATAACAGAACAGAGTCGGTCAAGTCGAAAGGGTGGATATAATAGATAATATAAAAATATAATACAAGGTGATCAACAATGGTTACCCTAATGCCTCCCGCTATTTCTTATAGAATTGCCTATATCATTAGTTGTAATACTATTGAACAAAACCGTAAAGGATAAAACCGACAAAACCAAAACATTGGAGATATTGTAGGTCTTCAAA